GGGAGCTTCTGTTCCCAGGATGAAAAGGTCTCCGAGGAAGTTCCTGACCAGAGCTCCTGTTATCCCAGATCCGAAGGATCCCTGGCTCTTCCTCCCCACTGCCGTGATCCCCCCGTGCCGCTCTCCCGGGATTCCTGGATCCAATTCCCTCCTCCTAAAGCGGCAGCACCCCGCTCCAGGCCGACACCGCGTACCCGGGAAGAGATCCTGGGAAAACTGGAGGATGAGCAACAGGGAGAGGGATGATTTTTCCCAAACTTCGCCATCCGGTGGGAATCCAAAGCCGGCTGACCTCCATCGCCCGAGGAGGCTCCACAACAAACTCAACGCGGCCCAAGGATGGCGGGGATGCGACCAAGGGAGCGCAGCACCATCCCATTCCTACGGATTCATCCCGAGGCCAGCTGGGATTCCCACTTTATCCCACCCCATCCCAAGGGACAGCGGTGCCGTTCCCAGCCGCATCCAGCAGCTCCCGCTTCCCATCCAGCGCTTCCAGGTAAAACCAGCGAGCGGCACCTTGGCTTCCAGGATTTCCGAACCCCGCTTTCGGCTGAGGCCATTCCTTGGAAAAGCAGAGCCGGGTGTCCTCCCTCTCCTCCAGCCCACGGGAGCGTCATTCCCAGCGCTCCGGTGGCTCCACGGATCCCGCTGCTCTGCGGGAATTCTCGCAAGGAACAGACAATCGGCCGTGGGAATGCCCCCACTGCACGAGAAGGTGCTGGAATTCGCTCCAAGATTTAATTGGAATCCAGGATTTAATGAAGAGGAAAATCCACCGGGTTTGGAGCTGCTCAGGAAGGGCCACGGGATCATTTTGGAATTCCCTGGAACTCTGCGCGCCTCCAATCGCCTCCTTCTCTCTCCGAACTCCCCACCGTGGATTCAGCACAGGGCGGATGTCGGGATGTGTTCGAGGAGCAGGAACTGGGAGCAGCCCAGATTCCCAACCCTTCCTCCAGCCTGGATGAATCCCCGGAGCATCCACCTCAGAATTCCCTGGGGGCCGCGGATCCTGCGGGAAACAGCCCCAGCAGGTTTTCCAGCCAGGCCCTCCCTAAAATCCAGGATTTGGGGAGCGCACCTGGAGGTTCAGTCCCGGAGTTTGGGGAATTTCAGGGAACTTCTGGCTCGCTGGGAAGGCAAAAATGGATCCTGGGAGGGATGACAAGGAGCAGCCTCCCCTTCCCACAGGGACACACGGCTCTGGCTCGGGCTCATCCCCAAAAATGCCAGGATCCGTGCATCCATTCTGAGACTCCATGGAAAAGAAGCCCAGAGTTTATGGGGAGAAGCACACCAGGCATGGGAAACGCACACAAATCCAACCCTTCCCATCAGCCGGCCCCCAAGGAACCGCCGCGGATTCCGTCGGGATTCCAAAACGGGACAATTCCAGGGTTCAGCCCCAAAATCCACGCTCCAAACCTCACGGAGAGGAACCCACGGAGCGGGGATGGAACAACATGGATGCGATGAGGATCCATGGAAATGAAACCCGGCCTCCTCGGTGCTGGGTCGGGGCTAATTTTAGTCTTGGAAGCGCCGCTCCCAACACCCTCCGGATTCCAAAGGCTGGTGCTGCTCTTCAGAGGGATTTCAGGCATATTCCAGATAGCACCATCCCAAATGCCCGGATAAGATTCCACGTGCAAGGGGCAGAGCCACAGCGCCGGGATCTGAGCGTTCTCCCCTTCCCCAGCCCATCCCGGATCCGGGAGCACCGCACGCTCGGGAGAATGACGGGGAATAAAACCAGAACCCAGCGCTGCGGCCTCTTCCCGACCCGACGGATTGGGAATTCGGGATGAGCTCCCCCAGCCCAGGGGAAAACCAAAATCACCGGGACGGGGAGCGGCGCCCGCTCGGATCCCCAGACACAACAGGGCAGCTCCCGCGGCTCCGTATCGGGAAGGGGCTGGGAGAGCCCGGGATGTTCCCGGGGTCCGGCTGGAAGGAGCAGCCGGAGCTGTCGGAGCCAGGCTGGGAGAGCTGGGATTGTCCAGCCTGGAAAAGGGAAGATCCAGGGAGACCCTGGGAGCATCTTCCAGTGGCCAAAGGCGCTCCGAGAGCTGGGAGGGAGCTGGGACGAGGACGTGGAGCGGCAGGAAAGTGGGAATGGCTTTAGGATGGGATATTGGGAAGAAATTCCTGCAGGGAAACGCGGACGCATCCCAACACATCCCATCCCAGCCACGGCAGCGGGAGCATCCCGAGAGGCTGCAGAACATGGAATAGCCCTAAAAACCTGGAAAAGAGCCTAAAGCAAAATAAAACCCAGGGCAAACACAATCCCAGCCACCCGTGGCTGAGCTGCCCAAGACTACGGAGCAGAATTCCAAGATCCGCGTGGAACTCAAAGCCAGAGATTTCCACCAGGAGCACTGGGGGACCAAGGAGCGTTTTGCCGTCGGATACGGAAGAGCCAAGCATGGAAAACCATCACTGAACCGGGAAATCATCAGGAAAAAAGCTCCAGTGACTGGTTTTCCTCAGGTCCCGGCGCGGCGAGTGGAGGGATCCGGGAAATTCCTCTCCCGGCTCCTCCGGAGCAGAGGATCCCGACCCCCCCGGAATACGACATCTGAGGGGAAGGAGCTTCCAGGAAGATCCCAAGTGGGATAAAGCCTGCCGAGCAGGTATTCCCACCTTCCCCCTGCCAGGAACACCTGAGGGGAGCCCGGGACCCGCCCCGCTCCGGCGGGATGCTCCGAGCGGAGCCGTCGGAAGAGGACGCTGGAAGACGGATGGATGCTCCCGTCAGCGCCGGCCTCGTGACCGGGAAAGGCGCCAGGAGAAGGTGGCACCGAGATCCCAAAGGATCAGAGCCACAGCACCGCCACGGATCCCTGGGATGGATCCCAGCGGCCCCGACAGCACGGGAAGGCGACGAATTCCAGCACGATCCTGGATCCCAGCGAGGCGGGGACCCCAGGGATGGGGGATCCTTAGGGATGGAGGAATCCCTATGGATTCGCCGGCTCCGTTTCACCCCAACAGCAACTGCAGCATCGTGGATGGCCCAAATCCTGGGATGTGACAGGTTGGGGGGGGTCTCCCTGCACCCCCAATCCTTCAAAGGCCTGAAATTCCCGAAAAACCGCGGCTGCCTGTGCAATCCCAACCCCCACCCGGGAGCACCGAGGAACAGGAGTCAAATCCTCCCACACTCCTGCCAGGAGGAGGCTGCTCCCATTCCCGTGCTCCCCCTTCCTCCTCCTCCTCCTCCTCTCGCCCGGCAGCGGCCGAGGAGGCTCCAGAAAATCAAATGGATATTAAAAAAAAACCGGATCAAAAACGCTCTGGAAAAGCCGATGGATCCCGGCGCATCCTTACGCTGCCGCTCTTCCTCCCTGCTCCCAGATTCCCAAATCTCCTCCTCTCTTCCCGGCAAACCACCCCCTCCCCCCGCCATCACAGATCCCTTTTCCAGGCTCCAAGGGGAGGGGAAAGCGCCCAACCGCCTGGATTTTGGGAATCTGGGGAAGGATTCTCCTCGGGAGCAGAAATCCTCATCCCTGGGAGCAGAAATCCTCTCGGATCTGCTCCTGGGAGAGGATGCAGCTTCCCAAATGCGGATGAGGAAGGGTCCGTGCCCTCCCCTCCCCGGTGCGGCGTTTCCATCCCGATCCCACCCAAAAACCGGGAAGGGGCGCGGGCAGTGCCCGGGGAAGGCGCCGGCAGCGCCGGAGGCTCCTGCTCCGCGTTATCCCAGGGATGGCAAAGTTTCCCTGCTGGCTCCGAGCTGGGGAAGCGGCACCGGGAAGTGAGGGGGGGCAGCAGGAAAAGAGGGAGAATCCCGCGGGGCGGAAATCCTGGAAGAGGCCAGGACCCGCTTCCAGCAGGGAACGGGGAAAGGACCGGGAACCGCTCCCGAATCCCGGCACGCACGGGTGGGAACAAAGGGGGGCTGATCCAGGATTCCCAATCCCCCAAATCCCTCCGGGAACCCCGGGCAGCCCCCGCGCCACTCCCGTTCTCCCGGGGGACTCCCCCAAACCCCCCGGGCTGACCCCCAAAACCCCTGAGCTCTGCTCCCTAAAACCCCTGAGCTCTGCTCCCCAAAACCCCTGAGCTCTGCTCCCCAAAACCCCTGAGCTCTGCTCCCCAAAACCCCTGAGCTCTGCTCCCCAAAACCCCTGAGCTCTGCTCCCCCAACCCCCCCAAACCCAGCTGCTTTATGCCCCCAAAGCTGCTCCCCAAAACCCCCGAGCTCTGCTCCCCAAAACCCCTGAGCTCTGCTCCCCAAAACCCCTGAGCTCTGCTCCCCAAAATCCCTGAGCTCTGCTCCCCAAAACCCCTGAGCTCTGCTCCCCAAAACCCCTGAGCTCTGCTCCCCAAAACCCCTGAGCTCTGCTCCCCAAAACCCCTGAGCTCTGCCCCCCCAGATCCGCCTGCCTTCGCTCCCCAACCCCCCCAAACCCAGCTGCTTTGTGCCCCCAAAACTTCTCGGGCTCTGCTCCCCAAAATCCGAGCTCTGCCCCTCCCCAAAGTCCCTGAGCTGTGCACTCCCAAATCTCCAAGATCTGATCCCCAAAATCCGAGCTCTGATCCCCAAATCCGAGCTTTGCCCCCCAAATCCGAGCTCTGATCCCCAAATCCGAGCTCTGCTCCCCCAAATCCGAGCTTTGCTCCCCAAATCCGAGCTCTGCTCCCCCAAATCCGAGCTTTGCTCCCCAAATCCGAGCTCTGCTCCCCAAATCCGAGCTCTGCTCCTCAAATCCGAGCTCTGATCCCCAAATCCGAGCTCTGCCGCCGCCCAACACCTCGGGCTCTGCCCCCCCAAACCCGAGCTCTGCGCCCCCAAGGCACAGCCCAGATCGCCCGCAACACCGCGGGCTCTGCCTCCCGCCCGCAGCCCTCCCCGAAATCCCTCAGCCCCCCCGAATCCGCCCTCAGCCCCCCCAGAATCCCCCCCCATCCCCCGGGTCTCGCCCCCCCTCACCCAGGCCCTGCCCCGCCCCCGCCGGGCCCGGCCCCGCCGCCCCCGCGGGCCTCACCTGGTTCGGGGGTCGCGGGGGGTCGCGGCGGGTTCCCGGCGTTTCCCGGCGTTTCCCGGTGGATTCCCGGCGGATCCCGGCGGATCCCGGCGGGTCCCGGGGGGTCCCGGGGGTCCCGGGCCGGGCGGGCGGAGCAGACGCGGCCGCCGCCGAGCGCAACCGGCACCACCACAAACAATGCCACTGATTGGCCGCCGCCGCCGCCGCGCCCGCCCCGCCTCCCGACCCCAGCCGCGACGCCCATTGGTGCGGCTTCCGGACGGGCACACGGCTCCACCAATCGAATCGCCCTAATTCGCTCTTAACCCGCCTCCCGACTTTTACTGGCAGTCTCAGTAGGGATTGACGCCCCGTTGCACCAATGGGAACGCCCCGAGCTTCCCCGCGGGGCGCCTTTAATGGGTCCCCGAGTCTGAACATCCGGGTATCGCGGGCGGCGCGCGGTGGCGGCGCGCGACTTCTCCCCCGGCCCGCGAGGGAGTTTTGGCCCGTCGCAGCCGCCGTAGCGGCCCCGGGCCCAGTACCGGCCCGGTTCCGCCCCACGTGGCGCCGGTGCGAGGCCGCGCGTGGCTCTGGGGGCGGTCCCGTCTCCGGGGGTGCCGGGAAGAACCCCCACACTCCCCCGGGCCCGGCGGAGCGGCGGCGCGCAGGGCCCGGCGGGCGCGAGGCCCGTGCCAGGATCCAAGATGGCGGCCTGAGGGCAGCGCCCGGGCCGTGCCAGGGCCGAAGATGGCGGACACGGCCTCACCTCCCCCCCCCGCCGCCCCCAGACCCACCCCCCAACACCAAAAGAAATCGCCCTGGAGGCAGCGAGGAAAATACCGCAGCAGCTTTTATTTACAGGCCCCTGGGGCGGGGGCTGCTATTGCACAGTGCAAGGGGAGGGGGCGGCCCCGAACCCCCTCCCGATGGCCACCGAACCCCCCCGGGGGGCCCGGGAGATCGGGGGGACACAAACCCAAACCCAGCTGCCCTGACACCACCTGAGGGGGGAAAAAACCACCCCAAACCCCCCCCCCGGCTGAGAACCGGGGTTAGAAACGAGGAACGGGAAACCCCCAGAGCCGCCCCTGCCCGTCCCGTCCGCGCTCTCACTCTGCGGGGGGGAATAAATAAATAAAAATATATTAACACTGACATATAAAACCCGTCGTGAGCCTGCGGGTTACGGGGGGGGGGTCTCTTCTCCCCGCCCCGGAGCATTTGAGGGGGGGTCCCGGGGGTGGCCTGGGGGGGTCCCTGTCACACTTTGGGGGTCCCGTTTAACACTGCCGGGGGGTCCCTGTGCCCCCCGGAGTTTTTTGGGGGTTCAGCACTCGGGGGGCGCCCCGAAGGTGCGGCGGCAGTCGGAGGCTTTGGCGCTGGGGGGCTGCGCCCGGCGCCGCCGCAGCTCGTCCCGGCACAGGGACCCCCCGAGCTTGCCCAGCGCCGAGCGGTACCGGCGGTCAAAGGCGGCTGTGGGGGCAAGAGAGGGGTCAGCCCTGAGCCCCCAGACCCCCCTGAACCCCCCGAGCCCCCCCCGAGCCCCCCCCGAGCCCCTCACCGATGTCCGTGTGCTCCCGGCCCAGCGCCGCCAGCGTCAGGAACAGCAGCTCCCGGTAGATGCTCCTGGAGGAGGAGCCGTGAGGGGATTTGGGGGGATTTGGGGGGGGATTTTGGGGGGATTCGGGGGGCTCTGCCCGTACCTGTGCAGCGTTTGGGGGGCTCCGGGCGCTGCCAGGGTCTCCAGGAAGAGCCCGATGGCTTTGTGAACCTCGTTGAGCCCCACGTGGCTCAGCAGGGCCTCGAGGAAGGGCAGCGAGAACGGGGGGGCCGGGGGGCCCCAGGGGTGCAGCCGTGGGGGGATGTTACCTGGGGGACCCCAAAGTGTCACCCCAGAGTGACCCCAGCGTCCCCAAATCCCCTGGGGGACGCTCCAGCCGGCCCCCGGTGTCCCCAGCGTGTCCCTGATCCCCTGATCTTTGCTCTTCTTCCCCTGCTCCTTCCACCCCCTGGTGTCCCCCATCCCCAAACCCCCATTCCCAAATCCCACACCCCCATTCCCACATCCCCATTCCCATTCCCATCCCCAGATTCCCAAACCCCCCATCCCCAAACCCCCATTC